GTTTGGTGTAGTGATTAAGTACGTGGACTCTAATCTGGGAGAACCGGGTTTGATTCCCCACTCCTTCACTTGCACCTGGCTGGATGACCTTGGGCAAGCCATAGTTCTGTCAGAGCTGTCCTTGAAAAAGAGCAGTTTCTGTCAGAGCTCTCTTGGCCCCTGGGGAGGGGAAGGGAAAGGAGTTTGTAAGCCGCTCTGGGACACCTTTGGGTAGTGAAGGGCGGGATATAAATCCAATCTCCTCTTCCTCCTCCAACACTCTGTGTCACACAGTGGCCGAAACCCAGGGGCCATTAGGAGGTCCACCAGTGGGGCCAGAACTCCAGAAGCCCACCCTCCTACTTTGTGAGCTACCAGCATTAAAGTTGTGAGCGGGCGATTTGGCTGCTGCATAAATCGGTTTGCTCCGGAGCCGTCCTCCCTGAGCTGAGACAAAAACGTCTGAGCTGGAGGCTAAAAAACTGTGAGCTGGCTCACACTGACTCAGCTTAGAGGGAACACTGGATGCAAGCATTTCTGTCACCCACCATGCGGCTCAGCTTGGCGTTCACAAAAGTGAGGTCGTCCAGGCTCAGCAGCAGCTTCTTGGAGCCCTGGGCGATTTGGCGGTAGAAGGCGCTGCGCCTGCGAAAGAAACAGATTCCAAACGTAACCAATCGTCTCTCGCAATTGCGTGTGTGGGGCATTGCTATAATTCCACAGTTGCATGGAAGAGTGGCGATTGGTCCATATTAAATACTGGGTTCAAGACGCATTGCAGTGAGCCGCTCTCCTTCATTAAGTGGTTTTAGGAGAAGACTAAAACACCAGGGCTTCTCTCTCTCTCTGGTTTTGTCCTCTCCCTCTCTGCTCATGGCCTTCCACGGAGACACATGTTTCTGCAGGGCAACAGCCCTGTTTAAATAGCATGCAAAGAGCCACACCGAAACACACCCCACTCCCAACGATAGGCTATTTACATAACATTAGTTTCTCATTGGTCTCTTCCAGAGTCCTGGTGAGCTATTGTTCTAGAGCTCCAAGCTCAGCCAGTTCTGGTAGATAATCCTGGAATCTTCCAGGCCTAATACATAACGGTCCAGGATGTCACATGTTCAGTCCCAGGCATGACTTGTGTGTGGAGGGTAGGGTTGCCAGCTTTGGGTTGGGAAATACCTGGAGATTTGGGGGGGTGGAGTGTGGGAGAGGGGTGGGGTTTGGGGAGGAACCTCCTCGGGGTAAAAAGCCACCCTTCAAAGCAGATGTTTGCCTCGTGTTGCCGACTCTGGGTTGGGAAATACCTGGAGATTTGGGGGGGTGGAGTGTGGGAGAGGGGTGGGGTTTGGGGAGGAACCTCATCAGGGTAAAAAGCCACCCTCCAAAGCAGCCATTTTCTCCAGAGGAACTGATCTCGGTCATCTGGAGATGACCACACAAAATAGCGGGCGCTCTCCAGGTGGCGCCTGGAGGTTGGCAACCCTATTTTTCCTCCAGGCGACCTGTTCTCTAATCTCATCACCTGGGTCGCCCTCTTCCACACTTTTTCCAGCTCTGCAATGACCTTTTGGAGATATGGGGACCAGAACTGTACACAGTGTTCCAAATGAGGATGCACCGTAGGTCTATACAGGGGGCATTACAGTATTGGCCATTTTATCCCTTTCCTAATAGTCCCCAACACAGAGTTTGGCTTTTCCACGGCCGCAGCACACTGGGTTCGCGCTTTCACTGAGCTATCCAGCCCTCTGGAAGCTGTCTGTGCTTGGAGACGCCGCCACTTCCTGTGGCAGTGGATTCCATGTGTGAATGACTCTTTGGGTGAAGAAGGACTTCCTTTGATCGGTCTGCCTGGCATCAACCAGAGCCCGGGCCTTTTCCATCGTGGCTCTGTCTGCTCTGTGGAATGGGCTCCCTGAAGACCAACACGACCACCCACCTGCATGCTTCAAAGTATTAAGCGAGCCACCTTGAAGCACGAGGGAAGGCAGGAGAGAGACAGATAGATGGATGAATGGCTGGATGACAGGTGAGGTTAGATAGATGATAGATGAAAGATAGATAGATGATAGACAGGCGGATAGATAGATGATGGATGATAGATGATAAATAGATAGATGATAGACAGACAGACAGATAGACAGATAGATAGATGATGGATGATAGGTGATAAATAGATTGATGATAGATAGACAGACAGACAGACAGACAGATGATTGATGATAAATAGATTGATGATAGATAGATGATAGACAGACAGACAGATGATAGATAGATGATTGATGATAAATAGATTGATGCTAGATGATGATGATGATGAAGATAGATAGATAGATAGATAGATAGATAGATGATAGATTGACAGACAGACAGATAGATGATATAGATAGAGAGATGGATGAATGGATGGATGACAGGTGAGGATAGATAGATAGATACATAGATGATGATGGTGATGATAAACAGATTGATAGATATAGACATATGATAGATAGATGGATGGATGGATGGATGACAGGTGAGG